TAGCTTTACTCTCTCCCCAAAACCCCAAAACCCCAAAACCCCACTGCAAAATTAAAATACTGAATAAATTTAAAATGTATGACCAAAGCACCCAAGATAATAGTCATTACAAGAGTAAATCTGAATTATTGATAATAATTTATAGAGAAGACAATAGAAAGCTTGAGACTAGATAGATTTTCGGATTCTTTCCTTCACAATAAAAACAAATATTACCATCCTAAAAGAGGGTTAAACTATTCGCCTTCAAATCTGGTATTCATAGATGAGAAGCCTACCAAAGGAAAGAGGATCCAATCAGGCAATCTTCGTTATAGGAGGTCAACCAAGCCTGCTGTAGAATTTGGTGAGAGAGAAAAGCTAGACAATCGCTTTATGCATATCTCATCAAGTATGAAGCACACAGGAGATATAATTCGAAGTGAAAACATTAGTCCAGAGTGATTACAAATAGGATCTATTACTATAAACAGGATAAACAGGAGCAAAATTTATGAAGATTCTTCCTTTCGCTCTCCTAAAATTACACCTACGATTTCAAAATGAGTACCAAATAAGAAATCTCAAAATATGGAATACTGATGTAAGCTTTCGAAAATTCCTTCTCTTTATCTCTCTAGATCGGCTAGTTCAAGAGCCAGACATCCCAAATCTCAAGACTACTAAAAGGGTGCAATCTAAGAGAAACAAGAGGAGGAAATAACAATAAATATCTACTGACTAATAATAACGAGAATATCAAAGAAAGGCTTCTGAGCGCACATACATTCAAACTTACTGGCCTAAACCCCTCTCAAAAGTCAAGTGAAGTTCATGAGCTCTCTGAAAGTACTGTTTGTGATAAATATGTCTAGAAGAAGAACTCTCAGAGCCATCAATCGACAACCAGGACATTCCTGATTTCAAGCTAGATGGTGACAGAGTACTTTATAATCCATAGACCCAAATAAAGCAGATTTTCTTTCTCCTGATGAAAGAGACCAGCTTGATGCTGAGATTATAAATGAAATTAAAAGTAACAGAGCCCTTAAGAGACCTTACATTGAAGGCATCTCTACAGCATCATGTATCATTGGTACTAAATTATTATAGACTTCTTGTCAGGAACCCATACAAAGTTAATGGAGAGCATCAATGAAGAATTACAACAAAAGCAGCCTGAAAGTAAAGACTTTAACCCAAAATATAGAACAAAAACCGAAGACGAGACATCCTTCCACAAAGCAGCCTCGGAAATATAGCAAGATTGGGTTCTTCCAGATGGAGCTGAATGACTTGGTCAGACATGAGAAAGGGATCCTTAACTTATACAGTAAAGTTTACTTCCATTATTGTTTAGAAAATGATGAAGTGCCAGCTAGTCTTAAAGTACACTCCTGTGCTTAACTTTAGAAAAGCATCAATAATCCAAAGTCTATCTTCAAAATCAACTTGACAAAGGAAGATGTAGGCAATTCTTGCTTAATTTCTAGTATTCAGGAATATTCGACAAGGACTCTAGCTTCTATGAAAAACAAGCCTTTGCTGCCATCTTTAGGAAAAAGTGGAAGTAAGCATATTGAATAATTTTATAGGAAAGACCAAGGCTACTGAAGTCTCTTTGATAAGAGGAAGAAATTCATAGTGGATAAAGCTATTTCAAATGTTAAACAAGCAAGTAAGTCTTAGCTAAAATTCTCCCTAGACTTTCAGACTCAATCACCGAATGGTAGAGTTATAAGGAAGAAAGGGGCCTTGCACACTAAAATCCTTGGAAGACGCACTTTGAAAAGTTTGGAAATAATTATAATTCTGTAGAAGGATTCAGAACTAAATAAATTGAAAATTAAGAAGCCAAAGAAAATACAAAAGAAGTTAAACCAAAGCCAGACCCAGAAGTTTACATCGGAATTTGTGAACAATAATAGTACCAGGAACAGCAGGGTCAGAGTGTTCAAGAAGATGTAAGTATCATATACAATTCTAGATCAACATCAATCAGGGCTATATCCTCAGCTAATGCTTCTCCATCTGCAGGAAGGCAGAAAATGAGCTTACAGACGGCATCAAATGGAATATTCAGCGAGTTGTAATATCAGTATAAACCTTTTGATTTAAAATTTCAATCATATTGAAATCAAGGGGTTTTGGGGTTTTGGGGTTTTGGGGTTTTGGGG